GGCTGTGAGGTCCCGTTCAATGCTGCTTGCAGCTTTAATTATTATTATTATTATTATTATTTTATTTCTTATCAACTTTATTGATTTTATTTCTCTTATTTAGTCTTGTAATTTTAATCATCTATTGTATGTAGTTTCCAGTAAAGCTTTTATGAAATACTATATTATTGTTAGAACTGTTACATCTATTTTGTTGTCATTTTTTATCTCATTAATTTTGTCATCTAGTTTTATTTCACTCTATCACTGTCTACACTTGTTACTCTTTGAACTGCACCAACATGTATCAAAGGGTCTATAAAAATAAAGTTGAATTGATATTTGTATGAAGATATGATTAGTTCAACACAAATATAAACAAATGTGTCTGTGTTTGTGTGTACCCTCAGATTTGGGGTGTCCCAGAACTCTGAAGACTTCAGAGTTGGTTGGATTTTGTCCAAGAGCTCTCATCACGTCTCCACACTGAGAGAATGAGATCTTCATCTGGTTTTCTGGAGTTCTGTCAAACAGCTGGAAGGCCTCTTTAAACTCTACACACACAGCAGTGTTTATACAGTGAGATTAGTCCATAAATAGTTGTTAGCTCTGATTCAATTAATGGTGTGTGTGTGTTACCTTCAATCTGATCAGCACTGAAGTCAATCTGAAAATACGTTAACATTCTGATCAGTAATCTGCACATGTGGAGTTGAACATGAGTACTTCAGTATACTGTAGTTCCTTCAGGTACTTCTACAATTTAATACTTTATTTTACACAAAGTAAAACACGATTAAGGCAGACAACAGCCCAACATACAGCCGAGTGGTCTGTCCCAAGGTTTTGCCTTCTTAAAAGGACGTTTCTCCTTGCCGTTGGTCATCAAATACTTGCTCATGGTGGTCTTTCTTCATCATCAGTCACTACCATTAGCGCATCTCTCTCTCTCTCTCTCTCTCTCTCTCTCTGTTGGAAGGCAGACGACCACCCACGTAGAGCCGAAGGGTCTGTCCTATGTTTTTGAAAAAGGCACTTTCTCCTTGCCCCCATCGCCAAGTGCTTGCTCATGTTGGCACTGTTGGGTCTCTGTAAATAATGTTACAAGGAGTTCGGTCTACACCTTCTCTATTTGAAAATTGTCCTGAGATAACACTAGCACTATACAAATGAAATTAAACTGAACTGAACTGTTAGGTCTATGGGTTTTAAGGAGTACGGACTATTTGAAAAATAATAAAACTAAATTGAATGTAATAAAATGTAGGTCCCTTTAAAATTCTGGTCTGAACTAACTTTTGTTGATTTTATGATTTTTGTGGAGAAAAAAAATTTATCTGTTTTTCTATATATCTATACTTCATCTTACGCTTTTTAACATCTCTGAGAAATCAGACAGACTGACAGCGAGGCAGACGGTTAGACGGACAGACTGACAGAGAGGCAGACAGACTGACATAAAGACAGACAGATAGACCAACAGGGAGGCAGATAGTTAGACAGACACAGAAAGAGAGACTGAGAGACAGACAGAAAAACAGACTGACAGACAGCTAGACAGATAGGCATACAGTTTGACAGAGAGACAGACAGACGGTTTGACAGAGAGACAGACGGTTAGACAGAGGCAGACCTTGATGCTGTGTGGATCAAAGTTCGGTTCCTTAACAATTTCTGGTTCTGGTGAAACCTTCGGTGCTTCTTTCTTTTGTTCTGGTTTCTTGGGGGCCATGATGGACGGATTACAACAGAACAGAAAGAAAATAAAGAGTAGATTTAGATGATAAGTGGTGAATGAAAGAGGACAGAGTGAAGAGAAGAAGAGGAGAGAAAACAGAGAGATTACTCTGTGAGACGGTTTAAATAGCTGTCACTCCATGAGTCCAAGAGGTCCATTTATGGTCAGAGAATTAACTAATGAATGAATCCTCCCAGGATTTCTAATACAGAGAGACAAACTTAAAATAGATCTGAAACAAATTCCACAATCCTCCACTGAACCCACACAGAACACACATCTACTGAGACCACCTTAAACACAAACACAACTGTTTTCCACTGACACCACCTTAAATTTAAAAGTTAAGCTGGCCAAGTTAACGCATTAATGAATGCCGATAATTACTTTATCTTGCATTAACGTTTTTTTTTTTTTACTATTTTCTATACATCAACAGATACAATTAATAATACAAAAGAAATCTGTGTCGCAGATATAAACATGTTTTATTTTCAAGTAGTTTCTATCTATGAATGGGTCTTGAAAATCTTATTTGACAAGTGAAAAATGTGAAGAATATATTAACCTGTTTCCAAAATATATATCTATATATTTGCTGCATAACAAATCATAAAAACTTAAACTTGATTTTAAAAATTACCCGAAATAAGTTGAGTGAACATAATACTTTAGTTGCTCAACTGAAAACTGTTCACAGCGAGTGACCCAGACTTTATGAAATTTACTTTGGCAACTACAAATACATTTCCAGTCCCTGTTGTTACATTGTGGTGACAAATCTCACAGACAATTATCTCAAAAGTTCAGCAGATCAAACTAAGCTATTTGCCTGGCGCTGCTACGAGTAAGTATGAGAATGTTATTTTGCAGTTTGGGTGGACTGACCTTTTAATTCTAACACTTGACTTTTAAGACTTTTGTGCCTGTTATTGTACGCTGTTTGTTGTTGGTGCCGCTTTCTCAGCCAGGTCTCTCTTTGAAAAAAAGTGTTTTTTATTCTCGGTGGGACTACCTGGCTGAATGATGGGTCAATGAAAGGAGTAACAATGTCCCAGACTGTCTGCCATAAGTCAGTGAAAGAGGTGATTCATGAACAGTGGGCACTTGGTCTTGGCTCGGACTCTTTGATTGAAACCTGTTTAGCAACAACTGCTAATTTCATTACATGGTGTCAGCGCACACTGAGCGGCTCCTAAAGGGCCCGCTTTGAACTCTCAGGGCCCAAACAATGACACGGGCCAGTCAGGGGGCCTGATGGGAGTGTGACGGGTCGGTGGTGGGAGGAAAAACAAAACCTCCAAAAAAAAAAGGGACGGAGGTTTTTCATAATGCTGAAGTCTGTCAAATATTTTGATATGTCCCACACACCATGGTGCAGCTCCTCCTGGGCTTTTTGCCTTTCAGCGGGAAAACAATTGACTTTCTTCACGATCAAGTCGTTCGCCTCCCCGCCTCCAGGCAAAACCTTTCATGAGGAGCCATGGCTTGCCGTTGCATCTGTTCCGCTGGGGTTCTTCCCATGGACACCGGGGATAAACAGTCTTTGAGGAAGCCACTTCAGTTGTGTGGCCTTGCAGGTTCCTTTTTCTTTTTTTTTCTTGTCCAAAACTTGGCTCATAAGAAACTTTTTGGTCATTTTTTTCTTTGTTGGGCTGGGGCTGCTCTGGGTTTGATCTTTTTTCTTGTCTTTTTGTCTTTTGTTAGTGATGATGCTTAACCAACATAATAGTTAATTCAGTCGGCTCATCATCTTTATGTGTTCAAAATCTGGACACAGCACATTTTCTAGAGCTGCTTCCTTTCCAAAAATAGCACTTCAGTCACTTATTCACTCTTGAAAACCTGATTTTTATTAAATGAAGAGTATAAATCTTCCATTGGGGCAGGATATTTTGACTTCTTTGCAGTGCTCCAGACATTTTCAACAAATGAGGGTGGAAAAAATATTGCTGCTTCAGTTTCAAGATAAGGACACAGTGAGATTTTCCATTTTAAGACTAAATCATTTGGTAAGATGGACATTTTTTGCAGTGTGTACAACTTTTTACAGTCCGTGAACATCCTCTCTAACAGAATAAGAACAGTAGACTTCCAGAACATGCACCATGAAGGTAACTTTGCAAAGTTCACTGCGGATAGAAGAGGCATATGAATATTCATGAAAAATTACCCGAGCTCACTGTGCCTGATAGCGGGCCCTTTTCTGCCGCGGTATTAGGCCTGTAAAAGAGATGAAAGGCTTGTGAACCATCCCCACTTCCTTGGCCTTATACTGGGACACAATGGCCAACCAGCCGCTCAATTAGTCTGCCATCTTAGACTGACTGTTTGACAGGTCTAGCTAATTGTTAATCCCGCCATAACTGTTGCTCAGAGTAATTAATCATGTAACAAAAGGGCTCTCAGTGAGGCAACCCCACCACTGCGGATGTGTGTCAAACCAGAAAGCGGGAGCTGAGAGGGAAAAACAGCGGTAAAGGTTGTCCAATTTACAGCTGAGGTTGATCAACAAATATTTAATCTTCATTTGCAGCACCTTAGCAGTGGCGAGCATCAGTGGTTTTTCCCGGATGTAAACAAGTACGTGCGTGAGATCTCCTGGCTTATGTAAATGCAGCTCCGAGTGAGCCCCACAGGAACGGGTTCCAGGGGTCAAGGACCATTCATCATGAGATGGAGTGTCATTTTCTCCACTTCATACGCAGGCAGCTGCTTAAGAGGAGGAAGAGAAAAGGAGGTATTCTTTGAGGGAGGAAAGAAAAGGCAGAGCCAAGCACAAATCAGGCTTCAGAGAGGAGATGGCGGGGAGGTGGGGGGTGAATAGGAACACAAGGTGCCACTGTGTCAGAATTCAAATGTGGATCAACCGGTGATGTCATTCACCTCCCCAACCCCACCTCGAGTCATAAGACGAGCAGCATTCCTGGGAACGGGAAGCGGACACAAAGAGCCACCGTGTTTTGCAGTTTTGAAATACTGACTCATTTTGTTGTGACCCATAAGTGATTTTTTTTTTCTTGGTGTGTCCAAATGATGATTAATATCTGTTTTCTATGTCTGTGCTGAATGGTCACAGTGGCAAACAAGAGCACCTCTTGTTCGGATGAAAAAGGAATTCTAGGCTCCCAGGCTATGAGATCTCATAAAGGCCAAATTGGATAATTTGAGGGAAAATGGGCAGAGGTCATGTCTCATCTCCATATTTTTTTCTTTTTTGTTTTTGGAGATTCAAAGATAGTCACGCAAGACATTTAGTATTTATTCCAGGCTCACAGACCTTTCTGAAGGAATTTTTTAGGTGTTCTTTTTGCTTATTGACAATAAAAGATCAAACTGCAGGAACAAAAGAAACATTTTTCAGGGCTGATACCTCACCTCATCGACCATCATAATCACCTCTTGAAAGTCTTCTTAATTTTCTGACACTGCACCAAAACTCATTTTCCCTCTGTGAGTAACAATCAGCAGTCCAACACAAGCAGCAGAACATGACAAGAGCTGCGTTATTGCTTTGCCGAAAGGGAGAAAAACCTGATGATTTGAACAACAAAACAAAAGCCTCCTGGGAGCCACTGGCTGTCCCGCCGGTCGACCCACCTCCACCACCACTGTGCAGGACCAAAGCACAATACCACACACAAAAACCTGCAGACAATAAACAGAAACAGTAGGAATCCTTCCCTAATTTGACTTGCTCCACAGGTGGTCACCAGCTGCTTGCGAACAGGTTACTGGGGGCCCCAACGGAGGAGCGAGGATTTTCATTTTAAGTGGAACAATGGGCAACTGCTCAGGTCCCAAAACCAAGAGGTCGTTTCTTTCTCTTTCTTTTTTTTCTTTTTTTATTTGGCAGTGCCTGGAGGTAAGTCGCAGCTCCACGGCAGCAGACAGTGAGGTCTTTTGTCTCTACGTCTGTGCACCAAAATGGGGGCTATCAGAAATTCCCCCTGTCTTAGTTCACATGATTCAATGAGAGCCCTGTGTGTCAGTCTGAAGACTGTTCTTTTCTTGTCTATTCATGTTGTACACCGGAGGGAAAGACCCGGCTACGCTAACGGCTGGAGGCCTGCTTTTACTCATCCAACGAGACAACAAGCTCTGCAGAACTCAGAATTCATTAAAGTCATAATTGCATGGCTTTTCATACTGAATGGTGCTTCAGTCAAGCCAGAATGCATCAAATAGGCAATGGTCATCCAGTTAAAATCCTTGAAATCCTTTACATTTGCTACCATACCTTAGCAGAAAATCTCTAGTTCCAGGTCCAATCTTATTACCTCTGTAGCAACTACCAAGAATCCAGATACGGAGATGAAGCAAATCATTTGTCTTTGGGCCCTGGCTAAGATTTGCAAGCAGGCACATGGTCAGATTCAAGGAACTTTTCTCCGCACAAATGAAAAATGACTCTAAGAAGAGGATGTCTTGTAAGCACTGAGGCTTTTCCAGTAATTCCTCACTAGATCTTGTGCATGGAAACACATACTGCTCTCCTGAGGCAGAAACACCTGACCACCCAGAGGTGGAAGCAGGTTAGCATAAGTAATTCTTGATTCAACAATGCAACATTTCTCTCGAGGGATATGGGTCAGTTACATAAATATGGGGAAAAGAAGTTTTCTCAAGTAAAAACTGCAGACATTAAAGACTTTATTAAGTCTTGGAGTTAATTTACTGTAAGACATTAAACTCTACTGGTGACCACTGGGATTGCAACACCATCAGATCTCTGGCACATGGGCTAAAATGAATAACAATTTGCTTTATGCAAATTGAGCATGGTATTGTCCAAAATTACAGGGAGAATTGTTGAATTTGTCATTGAAATAGCCTTGGAAAGAAACAGTTTTTCCTGGCAAGAACAGAAACGGTGGTTACTGGCACACAGTGTGTTCATTGGACTCCACTAATGTCCATTCTGCTTGTTTTAGAACAGAGTTTCTGTCTAATCAAACCACACATCTTCCAAAAGTGAATGAAACCAAAAGTGAAATAGAAGAAAAAATAACTTAATATGAATTCCAGTTACCTCATTTTTCTATAACAATCCCACAAGAAAACTAAATTGATGGTTTGTCACCTTGGAACCAAATTTCGTATGAAAGCAGCAGCAAATAACAGCTGGAGGCCAATAGCTACCC